TACACACACACACACACACACACAGGTTCCCCACCCCCCCAAAAAAAACAGGGCTTCTCTGTGTAGCCCTGGCTGTCCTGAATTTCCTTTGTAAACCAGGCTGGCCTTGAACTCAGACATTCACCTGCCTCGGCTTCTGCCTTCTGAGTCCTGGTATTAAAGGTAAGTGCTACCACCATGCCCAGCTCTTAAGTTTAGTATTTTTAAAAATGTTTAAATTTGGATTTGGTCCTCAGCTGGGGGCAGGACCGACAACAACAAAATAATAACAACAATAAATAACAAAAACGTTTAAATTTGCTGGGTAGGATGGCTTATGCTTATAATCATGGCGTATGGGAGACCAGTGTGAGGACACTGTGTGTTTGAGGCTAGCCTGCACAACATAAGGAGACTACCTTGTGAAGAAAAAATGAAAAATGTAAGCCAAATGTGAGAGGTTCTGACAGAGAATGAACATGAATGTGAGGCCAGCCTGGGCTACACAGTGTGTTGCAGACTAACCCAGGCTGTAGAGGAGCCTGTGTCCCCAAACAAATAAAAACAAACAACAGAAACAACAAAGCCCACAGGGACTGGGGAGATGACTGAGTGGGCAAACTAGGATCCCGAGTCCTAGCTGAGATTTCCAACAACCACAGCACATGGCGGTGCTGGCCTGTAACCCCAGTAGGGGAGGAAGACACAAATGGATCCTGGGGGCTCACTGACCTGCCTTTCTAGATGAAAGGGCAAACTCCACATTCAGTGAGAAGAGCTGTCTCAAAAAGTAATATGGGCCGGGCGTTGGTGGTGGTGGTGGTGGTAATGGACACCTTTAATCCCAGCACTCGGAGGCCAAGCCAGAAGATCTCTGTGAGTTCGAGGCCAGCCTAGTCTACAGAGTGAGCTCCAGGACAGGCACCAAAACTACACAAAGAAATCCTGTCTTGAAAAAACAAAAAAAAGTAAGGTGATTCTGTGCACAAGCCACAAGTGTAGCTACCACCTCTCCTCAAAGAGGCTCCTCTTACAGCAAATGGAGACCATCACAGAAAACCCCAACTGGGCGCTGCAGAGATGCTCAGATGGTGGGGAGCCCAGCACTGACGGATGCATCTGCATCACAGCTCCTGTATCTATGGCTCAGAGAACATCACAGAAAAGGGGACGGAAAGACTGTAAGAGCCAGAATACCAGGCAGTCTGCTATGGAACACTCTCCTAGAAATAGCTTCATAAACAAGACCGGAACAATGGACATGTTAGGGCGGAAGGGGGAAAGTTTTGGGGGGTCCCACCCTTAGACAAAGAACTGCAGGCAACTAATGCTGCTGGGAGGAGGAGAAGTGCCCTCTCCCAGGGACAAGCCCACTTACTGGTTGTCCAATGTAGAGTGGTCAGCCTTAAAGCCATATACACACCACCAACAAAAACAGACTCAGCAGGTTGTATTTGTATTTATTTGTGCATACACACACATAGGTATGTAATGATAATAAAGAAAAAAGCTATTAAAAGTGGGGGAGATGTGAGGGGTTTGAGGAAAGGTAGTTGGGAGGGGCTGGAGGAAGGAAATGGAAGGGGAAAGTGATATGATTCTATATCAGATAAAAACATATTAAAAACATAAAATAAATAAAAAAGAAATTAAAAATGGACCATAATTTGCCAGGCAGTGGCGGCGCACACCTCTAATCCCAGCACTCAAGAGGCAGAGGCGGGTAGATCTCTGAGTTTGAGACCAGCCTGGTCTACAGAGAGTTCCAGGACAGCCAGGGCTACACAGAGAAACCCTGTCTCAAAAAACAAAACAAAACAAAAGGGCCATAACTTTAAAAGTCTTTCTATCTAAGTGATATAGTTACATTTATAGATCTACATAAAGTTTACCATGATATCTTAATATGGAAATAGTAACTGAAGTGGGAGCAGCTCAGATAATTACTCTTTTTTAAAAAAAGTTTGGCAGATAAAGTTATTAAAATCTTTTTTTTTTTTTTTTGAGTTTCTCTGTGTAACAGCCCTGGCTGTCCTGGAACTCACTCTTAATTCCCCTTCCATGATGTAGTGTTAATGGCATGACATTAATCTTTTTAGAAGGTTTTATATCACAGAAATAGATAAACTCTACACATCTGGGCTTTGTAAATTAAGCAAGCCCTAGTTAAAAGGTGATATTTGGGAGGGGGGGTGTGTAAAGAGATGGCTCAGTGAATTAAGGTGCTTGCCTCCAAATCTGATAACCTAAGTTGGATCTCCAGGACCCATAGGATGAAGGAGAGAACCAACTTCCTGAAGTCATCCTCTAGCCTTTGAATTCTTGACACCCTCCCCACCCCCACACAAACACACCTCCACCTTCAAAGTGCTAGGATTATGGTGTGTACCACCATGGGTTTTGGTTTTAGGATTTTTATTTAGTGCTTTTTTCCCAGCCTGCAATTATGTTGCCCAGGCTGGCTCAGCCTTCCAAATGCTGGGATTATATATGTGTGCTAACATGCTTGGTTAAAAGTAAGGCTGTCTTTCAAAAATCCAGGGACAAGCAACAGCATCAATCAATGTGGTGAAGGTGCTTGCTACCAAGCCTGATGATCTGAGTTCAATCCCTGGGACCCACATGGCAGAAAGACCTGTTTCTGGCAAGTCAGTCTCTAACTTCCACGTGTGTCACATGACACATTCATACCCATGCACATATATGCACACACAAAATGAATATAATTTTAAAAAGGAGGGAGGGGCACCAGCCAGACAACTCAGCCTGTAAGTTAGTGGACCAGCTATCCTGGAATACATAGTATGGCAGGACAAGAGGGACCCTGCCTCAACAAGGTTACACAGTAGGAGAGAACCAACCCCCAAAAGTTGTCCTCTGATCTTCACATGTGCCCTGTAGCTTGTGCATGCCCACATTCACACACACATACATCACACACACACACTACATAATAAATAAAAAGACGTAAGTAAGGGGCTAGAGAAATAGCTCAGCAGTTGAGAGCACTTGCTCTTGCAGAAGTCCTAGGTTTGGTTTCTAGCATCCACATGGCAGCTCACAACTACAAGTCCAAAGGATCCAATGCCTTCCTCTGGCCTCACCTAGCACTAGGCACACACATGGTGCACATACATATGTACAAACACTCTTACATATAAAGCTTAATAAAATCTTTTTTTTAAATAAAAATTTAAAAACAAAGGTTCCAGATGTAGTTTATTAGTAAAGCACATGCTTAGAACCTGAAAAACCAAGCAGGGCAATGGTGGCCCATGCCTTTAATCTCAGTACTCGGGAGGCAGAGACAGGTGGATCTCTGAGTTCAAGGCCAGCCTGGTCTGCAGAGTGAGTTCCAGAAAAGCCAGGGAGGGCTACACAGAGAAATCCTGTCTCAAAAAAACAAAAACAAACAAACAAACAAAATAACAAAAGAAAGAACCTAAAAGGTCCTGAGTATGATACCCAGCAACACACATACACAAAATTATTCTTCTAGGAATGGAATAAGGGAGGTGGGGTGGGAGTTGGGACCACTCAGCCAGGCATGGTGACTCACGCTTTCAATCCCAGCACATGGGAAGCAGAGGCAGGTGGATCTCTGAATTTCAAGATACCTTGGCCTACACAGAGGCCCTATCTCTTTAAAAAAGAAAAAAGAAAATCTTTCCAGATGGGGCTATAGTTCACTGACAGATCAATTCCCTAGACAGAGCACTTGTCTAATTTGCAAAAAGCCCAAGGCATGATTCTCAGCACTACATGTGAAGAAAAAAAAAGTTATTTGGCCTGACATGGTTGTTTGGCACTCAAGACCCAAAGGCAGGATTCCAAGTTCAAGGCCAGCCTAGGCTATAGAGTGAGTTCCAGGCAGCAGGGGCTACATATGGAGACTTCGTAACAACAGACAGATGGATAGATAGGCATTCTAGCCAGTAAGGCTGTGCAGTGACATATATCTATAAATCTTCCTCTCATGACGCTGAGGCAGGAGGTCTGCCTTGCAACATAGCAAGACTCTGTCTCAAAATAAAGCAATAAAAATGAGGTCTTTCAAGGCTAGGGGTGCAGCTCTGTGGGAGCCTGTGATGAGCATGTGCAAAGCCCTGGGGTTCATCCCTAGCACTGATAGTTCACCCAAAATACAGCTAGGTGACAGCTGCTGGGTGAGCTGACTGGAATGTCTCACAACTGTGTAGGTATGTCTAGGAAAAGATGCACCTACTTTCCTATGTGATAATTATAACCAGGGCAAAACAAATGCCCCATTCCAAAAAAAAAAAAAATCATGTCGAGACAATTCTTAACACCAAATGCTAAAAAAGAGGTGGGGGAAAGGTCAATTGCTAGCAAAAGTAATCACCAGACACACCTGGTTCAGAAGACAAAAAAGGTGAAAACTTTTGTAGTAACGAAATGATAGCCTTTTAGCCCATGAGCCAGAAGACCAAGAGAGTAAGGTTTCAGGATAAAAATCAGGAGACCTAAATTTCAAGATTTCTGTGCCACTGCCATCTGTCAAAGGCTCGGAGGGCTGTCACCTTTCTGCTAAGGGAGCTGGCACACAAGTGGTATACCTGCTTCAACTCCGAGCTCAGAGACCCAATAAAGTGGATGAAGTCCACTGAGGGCCAGCGGGGCTGGAGAGGTGACTGAAATGAGGGCAGCGTCAGACGGCTTTTGTGGGACCTGCAGTGGCCCTCCCCAGAACCCCACCGGAAACGTGAAGTCTACCGCCTTACAGTATCCCAAACAGTCAGCAGCCCCGACTCCCATTTACAGTTTCCAGGTAAGTCCCCTGCCTTCTTGGGAGGAAGGGATGGCGAAGGCGCGCCTTCCCTCTCGGTCCCCTGAATCTGGAGCTATGAATGGGGGCAAAGGGGCCTTGGCTACAGACTGCAAAGAAAGGACGATCCATTCAGGCGACCGACCCACGCAGGCCCTCAACCCGGCCCAGAGCTCCGCAAGGCCCCCAACGGCAAACAGACCAGAAGCACCGGGCAGAGACAGGCCGGGCTCACCTGCCTCTTGTTCATCCGCCGCACATCATCTAGGAAATCTAGAGACAGCATGGTGAGATGGAGAACGCCACAACCAGCAGCCAAGACGGCGCGATAGAATCGCCGGGAGGAACCGCTGCCACACGGGCCGGGCTCACAGTGGACAGGACCCCCTGGCGTCTGTACTTCCGCTTCCGGGGCGGGAGCAAGAGAGGCCCCGCCCCTGGGGGAACCGAAGGACGGACAAAGCCTGACTCGCGAGCCTGCTGGAACAGCCCGCGGCCTGGCCTTGTCGCAGGAGGACCTCCCGAGCTGACCTTCGCCGGCCGAACCCGCCGAAGCCCGCTTCCCGTGCTCAGCCCGCGGCTGCTCGTGCAGGCGGTGACCCTAGGTTAGATAGGCCCGCAGCCTGCAGAAGGCGGGCCCTTGCGCACGGCTGGCCAATTGGAAGCCGAGTCTGCACCAGGGCGAGGCCAGCAGTCTTCCTGCGTACTGCCGGGTCCTGGGTGTGGCCCGCGACGTGTTGGCTAGCTGTTTGTTCTCTGGTTGAAGATGCTGCAGAACGCTCCGGGAAGCTGTGTGTCTGTTAAAGCATGGTGTACACACACACACACACACACACACACACACACACACACACACACACACACACACACACACACACACACATCTCTCTCTCTCTCTCTCTCAATTCTGGCTAGTAGAACCCTTCACATAAACTTGTCAATTTTAAATTCAACCTAGAGGTCAAATTAAGTAGGTATGAGCTTTTGTCCATTTCTTATGTACCTTGACGAGCTCCAAGAATATCCTATGGGTCCAAAAAGGTGAATAAGCTATTTATTTGGGAAGCTTTAAAAATGAATTGGCGGGAGGCAGAGCCCGGCGGATCTCTGTGATTTCGAGGCCAGCCTGGGCTACCAAGTGAGTTCCAGAAAAGGCGCAAAGCTACACAGA